CCCCCGCGTTTCCAACCTTCAGTAAACGAAACGCAGGCGACCCCCGTGTTTCTAACCTTTAGACTCCAAAATACAAGCGGCCCTCGCGTTTTTCAACACCCAGGGGGTACCCAACTCCGTGTCTCCAGTCTAAAACGCGGAGTTAGGGTCCTGAACGCCAAACTAGACGTTGTTTGACTCATTCAACATGAGCTGAACGGTTCCAAAATCGTTTTTCACGATTTGGGGACGGTTACACCCTACTTAGGAGCGAATTAAGGGGGAAGTTACACCCCTTAATCCCCTATAAATAGGAGTAAACTCAACTGAGTTCGGATCTTTGGATTTTGGAGATCTAGAGATCGGCTTCTTCGGATTATTTTCTCGGCAGCAGATCCTCTTCGAGCTTCCTGCAGCAACAAAGTTCTTGGAGCATTTTCTTCGCTTACAAACCGATTTTGGTTAAATTAACTCTTTCATAGAGTTTTAAACTCGTTCTGAGTTATCAACTCGTTCTGAGTTTCAAACTTACCACGCAAATTCTCCACAGCGTCAAATCGTGAGGAGATCTGTTCCAGTGAATCAAGACGTTCGGATCGTCAACGGAAAACAAACTCGACGCAAGCATTCGATGGAGGCACTTTATCGCCATCGTGAAGAACCCAGGATTAAACAAATGAGAGAATTCAGATCAATTCTTCTCTCTTTTGTAATCAGAAAATTCAAATTGTAATTAAGATTGAGAGAGTACAAATCGAATATATTTCTTTTAATTTTTCTTTTTACTATAAATTTTCCACCAAACAAAGGGGTTTGCTCATTTGCCATGGATCAACAGCTCAAACTTTTGAGTACCGTGTTGGGACTTTAACATTGGGAGTGTTAAATGCACCAACACAATGAGAGTTTGGATGGACTCAGCCGAAAGAATCTTGGTTGACCTACCGTCAGTTAATTTGATCAGTGAGGGACTTCATGGTGGAGGACCGTGAATCATCAAGCACTCCATAGTTACACTATGGGAGTTTCATGAGGGAAGATTGACTGGATGAAGTCATTGAATCTCATCTCAACGAAAGAGTGCTCAGAAAATCACAGTGGGTAGGTTTTAATCATCTTGGAAATGATTAAATAGCCATAGTGGGAGGTTATTAATCAATTCTTATTTATGATTAATGATGAATTATTCAGATGGCTGGTTTTCATTTTGAATAATCAGCTGATCTCGAGTTATCCTTAAGAATACCCTACATAGTATTCTCTAGGGACTTCCCGTTAAATAAGTTATCCTGAGCGTACTAAGGATAATACTTTTTTTAGGAACTTGTCGTTTATCGGTATCATGAGTTTGTCACCGTCTTGGGTGATTAAGCGATATGCGCCATTTGAAAAAAAGTATATATATACATATATATATATATATATATATATATATAGGGACGAGCAGAGAGATGAGGGAGGAAAGAAGAGAGAAGCAAGATTCCTATCAACTTAAGTGGTAATAGGGAATAGTTAATCGCGCTCATCGCAAAACTTTTATTGTAGTGGCAGGCTCATTTATTAATATATAAAAAGTCTTCTTGCCATATTCAAATGCAAGGGATCCCCTAGGCAAGATCGCATGGGATAAAAATGTTCTTGGTTGACTAACTATTTGCCTATCCGTCACAAAGAAAGAAGAAAAGAAAAAAGAATGGAGAAGAAATAAACACTTAAAGTTGACGGCCTGGCAAGTTTTCACATATCGATATATATATATTCGCTGGAATAAGGTGATCTAAGGGTGGCACGCGCTATGGCTGCCTCACCTCCAGGGGAGCGGGCGGCGGTAAAATGGCAAGCCCTCATTCGTCTTAAAATTTTTTTGCGAATCGCGCTCCCTGTTAAACTTGATCTAGCACGTTGCTAAAGGCTCAAAGCACACTAATTTGGGGTCGGAATCGCTGTCGTGTTGTTGAACCATCGGTCGTTTTGAGGTCATCGCAAAAAGTTCGTATTCATTGTGATAACGGCTGTTTAAATTGGACGGCGAGTGGATGAAGGTGCACAAACAGGCGATGGGTTTTTCCCCAAAAGTGGTGTGTTTAGTTTAAGAACCGTGTAGATAAGTTTAACTGAGGCGGATACGCAAAAAACAATTTAGGGAATGATATGATTTTAGGCCGCGTCGCTTTAAAGTAGTTCGAAGCCTAGGAGTGCCAGCCTAGATTCAGCCGTTTGCCCGTATATAATATATAACTTATATTATGTATATATATATAGTCAGTAGTTATAATATATATTAGTATATAAATATTATATTATATATCATATATCGTGTTGTAATATATCGTATGTGTAATATATTATGCGGCACACACAGGCCATAAAAATCTCATCTTTAATATATATTCATATTTATATACTATATATAATATGATATACTATATTTATAAGTATATAGTATAGTATATGCAGTATAATTATATCCTTAGTACTAGTATTATAGTAGTTTATATACTAAGTTAGTATAAGTATATATTATATATATATATATACACACACACAAACTAAAACCAGACATTTTGTCAAAAGAAGATACAGAAATCAAATTCAGAGTTGGCACTTGAACCCTACCCACATTTTCTTAGAAAGCCAATGCTTTTGATTACAAGGCAGAAAGTTATAGAACCGCATTATCTTCCAGGTATAGCAGTAAATCACATTGTGGAATTTCTATTTTGCTATACTATGGACATATTATATTTCGTCAATATCGGAGTTTTACCTTAATGGTTCATCATTTTCTTGCAATTCAACAAGAGCGGATCGATGTTTAGTAACAAGTCAACGACAACTATCTAAGGCACGTTTAACACTCGGTCTCGATATTTGTGAGAGTTTTTTTCCTTGAGGTTGCAAAGTTGAAAAAAAATTGTCAGAGGCGTGCATAAACAAGTCACTTATTATTGATATATAATAGCATTTATTGTGTTTATGTAGTTCCTAAATTTTCAAACAATCAGGATCTACGAATTCTCGCTTGCAATCTCATTCAATATCTTATCTTTGACGCGAACCATTATCGATGGAATAGTTGTACCGTATGATGCTAAATACCATAAAGACTGGGTGCAAAGCTCACTGTATAAAGAGGAAGAGGTTATGAGCTGCGACGACGAGCAACGCACTTCGGATCATGATGTCGTTAAGGAGCCAGATGCGATAAAAAGAATGACCTATGGCTCTATCAGACTGCAAGCCACTCTCTTCTTCATCTTTGCCTCATTTATTAACCTCCTCATCCTCTCCACATCCTCCCATCTCGATGCTGCCGAGTACACATCCATCATTATCGAATAAACCCCACTGTCTTCTCCGTCGATCTCCAGCAACCGCTTCATCGCAATCTCTGCAACCTCGACGCTCCCATGTGTCCTGCACCCTCCGAGTACT